CTCTAAGGAATGTGTGAGGGGTCTGCTAGGGCTGGTGATGGCACCAGAAGGTATAAAACTTTAAGGCTGACTCTGCTAGAGGAAAACGGGGCAATACATTTTGGTTATTAGGGAATGCTCTTTTCCCCCTTCTCTAACTCTATAGGAAGGAAAAGAGGTGGTTGCCATGGTGATGGGAGTGTTGCCTGCAGAACTGTCATTTCCATAAAGGGAGATGTCTGAAAGGTGCAGGAGATGAAACATAAGCAGGACATGGGGTCTAAAGGATTTTCTCCAACTTTTGACCAATCATGTTAATGCTCTGTTTTTACCACACGCAATAAAAGTGCTTACTGCTTGCGTGTGGCAGCTTTTGCCTCCAAGCCAGAGAGACGGCAGTCCACCATGCCATGTAAAACTAATTTGACATTCTAACCATTTAATAATAAATTGTGAAAACTTATCATTTGAGCACCTTTGTCTTCTCTCAAAAAAACACACAAAAAAACCCAACACTTTATAGACTTTTCTTAGTTATCATGCTTCTCCTGTGTTTCCCATGCCTTTCGTCATGTTTTCATCAGTTTATGTTAGGATTTGGGACTGCATGTGTTCTATTGTCTTGTGTGTCTTTTCCTTTTTTAGTGCAGGCGGTCATGGTTGGGATCATCAGGGTTTTCCTGATGCACCTGCAGAGCATCAGGCATCATTTGCTAGGCTATTAAAGGAGTAGTGTGACAGCTCTTGGGTGTCGGATTATTGTCTCATTCTCAAGTGGTAACAGGCCAACCATCTTTTATGTACTACTTTGATTAGCAGGACATTCATGGATCGCCTTTGGTTTTCTGGCAGGTTGTGATGCTCACTGTCCAGCCATTCCAAATCTGAAGTTATCTGGGCATCAACCTGCCTACCTTTCCATTTTACCTCAGTTCATTTCTTCTGGGCCTCAGGCTACCCGCTCACCTGCACTACCACCGGTCCACGTGGTCCGCACTAAAATCTCCAGCCTTATGTATCCCACCTCGTTCCTAGACTGTAAATTCGTGGCTCCTGCTTTATCTGAGTTTTGTATTTTTCTGTTTTTTGCAAAGTGGTCAGCATTAAAGCTTCCTTTTTGA